TTTTTTTTTGTGAGGAAGGTCAGTCCTGAGCTAACATCCACGCCAATCCTCCTCTTTTTGCTGAGGAGGACTGGCCCTGAGCTAACACTTATTGCCAGTCCTCCTTTTTCTCCCCAAAGCCCCAGTAGATAGTTGTATGTCATAGTAGCACATCCTTCTAGTTGCTGTACGTGGGACGCTGCCTCAGCAAGGCTGGACAAGTGGTGCGTCAGTGCGCACCCAGGATCAGAACCCGGGCCGCCACTAGCAGAGGGCGTGCACTTAACTGCTAAGCCACGGGGCCGGCCGCCCTTGAACTTTTTAATAAAGCAGCTCCTTTTATTTCGGTAGCTTTTTTGAAGTTTCTAAGGTTTTAATCATTGTTCCAACTTATTAAATGCAAGTAAATGGGCTGAAAGCTACTATGAATGAATGAATTTTCTATATATTGATTACTTTACCCTCCTCAACCCACATTCCATGTTTCTGGTTCATGTAATCTATATGCATTACTCATGCTGGGCACAGAGTAATTCATTCCTGGCAGGTTGTATGCTGCCTACACTGAGGAGTGGGAAATTAATTCACTCTCACTGATAGCCATCTCTTCTTCCTCTAATTCCTGAAAACAACTGAAGGTATATCCTAGGTCCCACATGTTCTAGGATAACATAGAAACTAAACATCAGGTGTGATGTCTGTGGCACCCCTTAGCATTATTTCCAGCCTTGACTCCTTTCTTATAAACAGTGTGCAATCCATTAACTCATTTTCACCTCCAAAGCCTCTAACAGCTGCTCTCCCGTGGCGATGTTGGGCACGTGGATGGTGGTGCTGAAAGCGTTAAGCATTTCCATCTCCTGAAGGACATCTTTGCGGCTAGTGGTCCCAATGATAAGAAGCTTGCGGCCCTGATCATAGGGAGAAAACATGTTAAAATGCATAGGGTAGGACCGATTGGGAAACTAGAGTAAGCCTGAACAATACCCATTTATTTAATTGCAGAAATGTGAATGATCAGGCAAAAGAGAAGGAAAAAGTTAAGAATTTTCCTCTTGAAATTCTAAAAAAAAGTATCAACATGATTCAGAAAGAGCAACATTTTCTTCTCATTCACATCAATAAAATAATGGATTAGTAAATCAGGGAGATATACAAAACAAATAGGAAGATACTTCAGCATATGTTGTAATTCATTTTTCACAGCCAACATGGTATATGTATGGTGGGAATTGGAAAAAAAAAAAAAGGAAATGAATGAATGGAAAGTGTGTATCACCCACTTAGCAAGGCTTTAGTATGCATTTTAGAAGGAATAAGGTAATAATAATAGTTTACATTTATGCAACACTTAACTGTGAAAGGCAAGGTGTTAAGTGCTTTACATAATTGTGTCATTTAATATTTTAAAATTTCATTTTTAACCCAAAAATATACAAAAAATGCTTAAAAACTATAGCAGGCCTATGCCACCATTCCTGATTCCTCTTCTCCACAGGCAACCATTTTCAACTCCCAGCTTTTCTTCTTGTATTTACCACCTTATCTTTAAATAACAAGGTTACACTACTATTTTTAGATTTTTATTTTTGGCTTTAAATATTATTTACTGACCTCCTGTTATGGATGATGCGGATCTAATATTAATTTTGCACTTACCCCCCATATGTCCCTTTGCTCAGCCTTCCAATAGTTATTTCATTGTCTTTGGTTAAGTCTGTATTCAGTATTTATTATAACTATATAAATATGACTTACAGCTAAGCCATGTGGTAGCGTACTATTAAATTTCCTTTTTTGGGCAACATTTTGTTTTTATTAGAGTTAATAATTGCCATTTTACCCCTTTGCTTAGTTTACCAGGTACTTTTCACAAGTTGACCCCCAAACACAACCATAAACATCCTTTCAATACATTCAAATACATTAGAGAATTAAAAACAAAAACAAAAAACGCCCAACTTTTTAAAAATTCCTTTCCTGGAGTCCTCTGTTCTCAGAGCTCAAGCTAAACTGACTGCTCTCTAGGCCTGCTGCACAGCTGGAGTTCTAGAACTTTCCTCTCTTCTCTGTTAGATCCCTTGTATCCTAGCCCTTCCTTTTTCTTCATTTGTTCCCTCTTTTCTGTGGTGCATATACTTCAAAAGCTTCCTGAGAAAAGGTGTATGGGAGGTAAAAATTTAAAGACCTTGAATATCTCAAAATGCCTTTATTCCACCCTAATATTGGACACTCCATTTATACTTGATAGTTTGGCTGGGTATCGACAACAAGGTTAGAAATAATTTTCCCCTCAGAATTTTGAAGGCATTGCTCTGTTGTCTTTTAATTTTCAGTGTTGCTGGCTAGAAGACTGATGCCATTCTGATTTTCTGACTCTTTGTTTCTAACTTGTTTTTTTCAAATATAATTTTTAAGGAATCTTTGTTTACCCTGTGTTCTGTAATTTCAGACTAATGTATGCTGACATAAGTCTTTCTTTACTCAATTTGCTGGCACTAGATGGGTCCTTTCTAAACTGGAAACTCCAATCATTTAGTTTTAGGAAATTATCTTGGATTATTTCTTTGAGATTTCCTTCCATTCATTTTCTGTTTTTTTCCTTCTTCCTGGAACCTCCTTTTGTTGGATACTGGCATAGACTGATCTTCTCATTTTCTTCTTTTTTCTCCTGGTTTTCATTTCATTCTCTTTCTAATATTTTTTAAATTAGCATCAACTTTATCTTCTAAGCTTTATATTAAGTTCTTTCTATAATATATATATTTTTTACTTCTAAGAGCTCTTTCTTGTTTCTTTTTTTCATTACATCTTCTTATATTTGATGGGTACAATACCTTATTTTAGATCTCTGTGAATATTACACATTTTTAAAAACATTTTATTCTGTTCTCTGTTATCTCTGTTTCCTCTGAGTTTCTTTTTCCTGTTTGTTCATTGGAGGCTTTCCTCAAATGTCTAGTGATTGTTGGATGACTATTTATACTTAAGAGGAAACTAATGACTGGAAGTTCTGAGTCTGAGGGCATCACTACAGGATGATCAGATAAGACTTGGCTGATTATTAGCGGTCCCTCAAAGGTCAGTATGTGTAAATTTTTCCCAGAGAAGAATCTTCCAATCTCCCTCCTGAGGGCTATAAAGCCTAGTTTCCAGCATACTGAGAGTCAATGGGGGAAGGGGTCTGGGTATCTCACCATTCAATATAGACACTTCACTTACTCCTACTTGTAGTATGGCACCTCTTTAGATCACTCTCTCACTTAATATTCATTATCATCCTGAGAATTAAGTACTAGTATTACCTCTATTTTACTGATGAAGCTATTGAGCCTCACAGATGTAAGTAATTTATTCAAGGTCAAATAACTAATAAATGATGGAGCCAGGAATGGAAACCAGATCCAGAATCCAAAATTACATACTGTCTTTCTTCATGAAGAAAAACACATTTAAATAAATGTTTACTTGGAAAATGGAAGAGTAATAAATTTTAAACTTGTGTCACTGGATTTATGATACACACTCATTCCACAGATAAGGCTTTAATACAATCATTAAGCCTATTCACATATCTTAGAAACTCAGGATGCTAAAATAAATGAGCAAATAAAAAAATTATGATGCAGAAATTAAAATAAGTGCAAGAAAAGATTTTAAGAAATTGAAGATGACATGCCAAAACAACTTCAATTTGGGTTTTGTAAATATTACACCTGTCAATAAGGCACGTTAGCCTTTCTCAATCTTACTCATTGTTTTTGTTCATCTACCGTGCCAATAACAGATAAGGAACCAACATAAACAAAGGCATATCAAAGAAACAAAGTGGAGACCTTCTGGTACAATCAGTGATTGGCATATCAGATGACTATACAAAGACAATGGGATAGAAGTGTACCTGTGAAGTATACTGATGAAAGGATAATCACTATTATTTAAGAAATCAACTAGCCAAATTCAAACACATTATCAACAGACCTTTACCAATCTCTTAGATGAATATAGAGTAGACCTTGTATGGAGAGACAGACAGATACAAAAGAGATCATTACAATACAGTATGGAAAGGTGGAGGTATTATGTACAGGATGCCATGGTAGAAGGAAGAAACATGTGGTAGAGAAAGCGTCTTTCTCTGGGGAGATAATACCGGAACTGAGTTTTAAGGAATAATTGGGAAGGTTGATTGGGAAGATGAAAGGGATGGACATTCCAAGCCAGAAGGATCAGAAATACCTAAGTCCAAAGGCAAAATAACAAAAACAAAAACTGGGGCGTTGGAATAATTACGAACACATAAAGACATATTAACTTCGACTATAACAGAAAAGTGGTGCTTTTACACTCCAAGTATTTTTCAACACTAAATTCTAGTGGTACACTTAGGAATGTATCCCTGAAGGCTAACAGATGCCAAAGCCCATACAGGCTGGTACATTCTCATTACATTTAAAGGTAACTGTTGGGCCGGCCCCGTGGCTTAGTGGTTAAGTGCACGCGCTCCGCTACTGGCGGCCCGGGTTTGGATCCCGGGTGTGCACTGACGCACTGCTTCTCTGGCCATGCTGAGGCCAAGTCCCACGTACAGCAACTAGAAGGATGTGCAGCTATGACATACAACTATCTACTGGGGCTTTGGGGAAAAAAAGGAGGAAGATTGGCAATAGATGTTAGCTCAGAGCCGGTCTTCCTCAGCAAAAAGAGGAGGATTAGCATGGATGTTAGCTCAGGGCTGATCTTCCTCACAAA